AAAAAAGTAGATCATAACTATATTTATGATAATTTTCCAGGCAAATTTGCCTGGAAAAGCCTACAGTTTAAGGGATAACCAATTATAAACTAACTCGCAAATTCTAATAAATGAATTAAATAATTTAAAATGATTTTAATATATTCAAATATATTCAAATAACTGATTTAGTAAAATAATATAATATGATAATAAACTTTGAATATAAAATAACTTTGTTTATGTAAAAACTTTGATTATAAGGATTAAATGCTACAAAATTTAAATATTTATAAATAAGTGAATTTTTATTTCAACGTTTTTGTAAAATTTTTTCAAATTCTCTAAAATTCTTTCAAAAATTCTCATTTCTACATTTTCATAATATCAAATCAATTCTCACACATTCGAATTTATACAATTTCTTTCTATCCTAATTACTCATTTACATATTCAATCTATTTCTTACCATTCTATTTCATAATTTCACATTTTTACTAAATTTTTCATTTTATTCTATTTAATTTTATTATAATTCATAATGCCTAAACATGCTAAATGAATTTAAAACCCAAAAATATTTTTGCTAGTCTTCTTGCCAGAACTGCTACATATGTATCCACAGCTACTACAAGTTATTCTGAAAGATCAACTGAAATTACTGAAGAACTCACTTCAAGAGATAATATTTCAAAACAAGGCAATGGTATTCAAAAATAACTAAATAATTTTTGCTTTTATAATAATTTTAATTATATTTAAATAAAATAATTTTAATTTTAATATTATTTTTTAGAAAATACTTTATCCAATATTATGGCTATATTAAATGAACATACTAATATGTTAAAAGAACTAACTGAAAAGACTGATAGAATTGATAAATGATTAGATTCAATTGAAGACAAATATTCAGAAAGTTTCAACCTTGCCCACGAATCTAACTTTATTAAAATATTTTTTTATATTTTTTCAAATAATTAATTTAAAATAATAATTAAAAATTTCTAATTATACCTAAATAATATACACTATAGCTAATAATATAAATTTATAATAATAATTTTAACTTATATTAATAGCAAACAGTTAAAGAAATAGCAAAATCATTAATTGAATATTCAATTTATCCAATTGATAAAGAATTAATAAAGGCGGCTTAATCCTATTTAGAAGAAAATCATAGTGAATTTTATGAAAATATATCAGATAAGCAATGAAAAACATATTATAAGAAGGATATCGAAGAATATGTAAATTTTTTAATTTTTTATAATATTATTATATATTTTAATTAATTCGAATATATTCGAATTAATTAGAATTAATTTAAAAATGCAAAAATATTTAAAATATATTCATTATTTAATTTTATTATAAATTTTAGCTCTTAAAACAAGTTAGAACTTACCAGAGTGCTTTAACAATACATATTAAAATGTGATGTTTTTGTTTTTGGTATAAATATATTAGATTCTATTAGTACAAATTCTCCTCCTTTAGCAGTTGCTGCATGAAAAGCTTCAGAAAAGACACAAAATTGTTATAAGAAGCTTTCACAAAAATTGATTCAAATAATCCCAACTCTGAAACGTATATGCAAACAATACTTGAAAAACTTTGAGCAGGCAGAAATTCACTGATTAATAAGATAGCATATGTGATAACAGTATGCGAAATAATGCTAAATTAGCATTATGATAAAATAATATTATCAGAGCAGTTGGGAAAACATAGATTAAAAAAAAATCTAGTAAGCAAATTTTAATTATAATTTTAAGCAATTAAAAAATTTAAAAATTTTATTATATTTAAATATATTTAAAATAATTTAAAATATTTCTAATACTATAAAATAAATTTATATTAATTTTAATTTTAATGCTTAACTAATATTAATGCTAACTATTACTCTAAATAGAAAAAATTAGAAGATGATGTAGAATTTCATCCACCAATAAATGATAATATAACTAGCTCAGAAGAATCAGAAGCTGAAGAAGTATGTATTTATTAGTTTTATTTTATATTATCTTATATTAATTTTTTATAGCCAAGTGACAGGAGAGATAGGTGCAGTATTGCGCAAACATCCAAAAGAGTAATATAATTTATAAAATCAAATAATTATAAACTTATATTATTATAAAATTTTATTATTAAAATTTTAATTAATTTAATTTTTAGAGGCCTAGATGAACAAGAAATATGCAAGTGCAAACTACGACTACACATAGTTCTAGATATTTTCAAGAATCTCGTCATACTTCAGGTACTTCTGAATTACCCCAGAACTGTGCATAGTTTTGCTGAAACTCAAGCACCTTTAGAAACTGAAAAATCAGAATCTTAAATATTTTTTTAACTTTTTATAATTTTTTTTATTTTATATTTTTTATTTTTATATTTCTTTTTATTTTATATCTATTATTTTATCATTTTTTATTATTTTAATTATAATTATTAAATAAAATATAATACTTACTGTATTTTAATTAATGTGGAATAATTCAAATTTAATATAATTATTTTTAAATATTAAGTATAATTTTTATAATGGACATCGATATTGAAAATATTTCCTCTTTATCTAAATTTAACTGTTTATCTTGCATACATGTGCATGAATGCAATTTATTGCTATCTTAAAAGAATTATGATTATTGTAACTGTTATTGTGCATGATTAATTTCGTAATATTTTGTGAATTAATAATCAATATATGAATATTGTAATGCAGAGGATACAAAAATAACCAGTTATTTTTATTCACATTCTTTAAAATTCGAGTTTTGTTCGTTATGCTTATTTTGATGTTAAACTAATTGCAATATAGATAAACTTAATAATATATATTAGAGAATCACATGCTTTATATTGCGAATATGTGCCAGGTTGATAGCATTAGCCAGTTCAAGTAATTTATGCCAATTAAAAACTTCTAATAATAATCATTAATTTGAATAGAACGAAAGCCCACATCTACTCAAATTTTGTTCTTTTTTATTTTTAAAAATATAATTTTCTTCACTTCTTCATAATCATAGATTCTGTTTATATTTATTTACTTTTATAATGAGTATAAATGGGGTATATCAAACTAAAACACGGCTTATAACTTTTTTTAAATTTTGAGAAAATCACGTTTAAAATTTTGTATAACAATAACAATAACGATCTATTATTAGTATAATCTGTTGGATCAACATCAATTAGCCAATCACACAAATGTATTTCTATGACTTTGCAGCAAGAATTGACAATCAGATTTCTGAATTCTAATTTTAGATCACAGCTAACCATATATGAGATTTAAAAAAAAGATATCGACAAAAGTTTTATTATATAAATTAATATTTTAAATATCAAATTATCTAGAAGAATGTCTACTTTATATGACCGTATGGTTAACTCATTTTTGCAAAAAATACCATAAGCTGTGTTTTAGTTTGACATATCCCAAATTATAATTTTTAAAAAGTAACTAAAAATTTTTATTAGTTCGATATAGAGGAGAGTTAATACCTTAATCTAAATTTAATAGCTTATATCTGGATTTAATCATTAAATCTGGATTTAATTAAATGTTTGTTTAGATTTATTCTCTAGTTCTTATTTATACTTTTGTACTATTTTTTCATAGTTATTGTCTAGATTCCAGATTTGGATGATCCAGAATTTTATATTTTTTTTGATTATTTATCATTTTTGTAAGACAAACTTTATGAAATATGCAACTTTAATTTTAAAAAAAGTATAATAAGAATCGGAAGAATAATCAGTTAAAATCCCTCTATATCAAAACTGATTTGTGAGTAGACAAAAGTAATGTGCCTGCATATTTAAATCTGGATATTACGTATATATCCAGATCTATTGATTAAATCTGGATAACAATTACGGTAAATTCGGATCTAATAATTAAATCCAAATATAAGCCATTAAATCCGAATTAACTCTAATATAGAGAGGGTCAACTTTAAAAAATATTTCTGTTATATATTTAATTCATAAAAGAAATATAAAGAATATTCAAAATATAAGACTGTTGACAAAGCATGCAGTGGAAGCTTTATATAAAAATAAAATTTAAAAAAGTATTGTATATAAAAAATCGTTAATGCTGATTAATGCACCATTTATTTAACACTATTTAAGAATTGTATTTATTGCAGAATAATGAGCTTGTAACAGAATTTTTTCTATAATAATTTAATATAAAATTGAATTTCCAAAGATTCTAAAAAATTGCTATAAAAAATTGATTAAAAATTTTCACTAATGACTTACGATTAAATTGATAGGATATACTCTAAAATAAAAAGTATCTTATTTGACATATATTAAAGAATTTGACCAAAATTGACAGAATTAGTAGAATAGATAAGCCATAGCATCTGATTTTCTTAGATAATATACAAGATTCTGTTATATCTTTTTTAATTTGCATTTATAATATATTTTTGCAATATGATATTATTTATTTACTTTTAATAGATTCGAATAGATTCGTATCTATTTAATATTTTAATTAAAATAAAATATTTTATCTTAAATTATTATGAATATTTAATATGAATTCATAATTTAATAGAATATTTTCAAATTAAATTCTTGAATTTAGTATCAATCATTAAAAATATTTAAATTTGCATTTATTTGAATATATGCGAATTTTTTAAAATATAATTAAAGTTTATTATTTTTATTAAAAAATATATTTATTTACTAAATAATTATTAGTTTTATCAAAGCGCGGAATTATATGAACTTGATTTCTAATTGCTTCAATATCAATTATATTAAATAATTCAGTTAATTTAAGTCTAGGACATCCATAATAATATGGATTCCTTTCAGATTTAAAATTATACTACTGAATTAATACAAGATTATGTATCAAAGTTTCATTGTTAGATTCAAGTTTTATTAATAAATATATCTAAAAATTAAATATTAAAAATTTAAATAAATATTTTAAAAATTGTTTTAAAAATTTTAAAAATAAAAATATAATTTTACCTATCTATAACAAATTCCTTGATCTAATAAATATTCTAATAATTCATCAGAATTCATAGCAACTGATATATTACTATACCAGGCTTTGCCATAAAAATTATTTGTGGCTCTAATTATAGAACTATTTTCTAAAGTTATTGAACTATATATTTTAATTATATAATTGGTCAAATTAATTTGATTTGTTGTATCAAAATATAAATTTAAACAATTTAAAAATTTTTTAAATCCTAAATATATTTTAGAATTAGAAGAATAATTGTTTAACTGTTGGTTAATAAATTTCTGTGTATTATTTAAACTAAATATTCAAATTAAATTTATAAATTTATAGGAATTTATAGTTCTAATACTTTTTGTTGATTTGCTTGATGATAATTTTGTTACAATAGCTTGTCTTTAAATCTATTTAATTTAAAATAATTTAGTTAATTTTTATAAAATACTATAAATATTATTAGAAAAAAGCAAATAATAATTACTATTTTCATTATTTGAATTTCCACATTCTGTTTATTAGTTAAATAATATGGTTTTTTAACAAAATCTTTATGAAGACTTTTATAAGTTTCAGTAGAAAATCTATTTAAAAAACTATATTTTTTAATTAAATCAGTTGTATGATATATCCATGAATGTAGTTTAGGATATTTTAGTTCTGATAGCGAATAATTTTGAAAAATATTAACAAATTGTCA